AGCTTTGGGGATTCTTGCTCTCGTTTTATAGGACCAGAGATCTATGGTTCTGTCCCTCAATATTTTGTTATAGGTTCATCTTCTGTCTGATGAGATCTAGAGAACCAGTTAGACATTGTAGCATATGTTTTGTAAATGCTTTTTGTATATGGATGACCATCCTTTATTTGCCTGTGAAGTGATCTTTTTTTTTTCCCTTTACCCCAAAGAAATTTAGAGGAACTGTCAGATTGTTTCTAGACATTAGGAGTTTGTTGAATAGTTTGGACATTTTTAAATGCTGGAGGATAGATTAAAGATTTATGTGCTTGGTAATATAGTCTAGTGCCTGATTATAATTCTCTAATGTTGATTATAGTTCTCCACGTTATTTCTATAGTCGTTTTAATTATAAAAATAAGTTGATAATTACACCTTCCATGGTTTATTGCCTTTACAGATCAAAGAATATTCTGGATACAACTTTCTCGGGCTCATACTTGGGCCTGGAGGTGACACTCAGAAGCGATTGGAAAAAGTAAGCAGTCTTGTTCATCCGGTGAATGCGATCTCTTATAGAGGATGCTTATAGGCAATATTAAATTATTAATTATGATTCTCTGATTCTTTCACTCACTCCTTCAGCACTTTTGGTTTAGAAAGGGTTATGTGATATTTCGTCTGAATAATTTATTTTTCATTCTCTGAACCAGGAAACTGGAGCCAAAATAAAAGTTTGTGGTACTAGAGCAAATACAGGGGAGAAGGTGATTCATTGATTTGATACGATACCATGATTAAATTTATGAATAATTGAGGAGTAACTGGTTTTCCTTTGAACTTTCTTTAACCAAGAAAGATCTTGAAATGCTAATTAAAGATTCAATAGGATTTTCTCGGGTGTTAAGCTTTTATTCTTGTTAACTTCCAGGTTGAAATTTCTCCACGTGATGGAAATGAGATCATAGGTGCTTATGAAGAGCTGTATGTAAGTGTATCAGCTGAAACATTTGAGAAAGTTGATGCAGCGGTTACTGTAATTGAATTGCTTGTCACTTCAGTATCAGTGAGTCTCAATTTTACTTGGGTCATTCACTAACATATTTTATGTTATTTATATTTTCTGTTCCTGTTATGTTTTTCAGTATTTTTTTTTTTTGGTTTAATTTTAAGTGGAGTTATTACACTGAGTATTGCCCAAAGTTAAGAAATAACTATAATCACCTTCTATGCAGGGAAATTTAGGAGCTACTTCTGCATCTCTTCAGTTTCTGGAGTTCATTCAAGTGTTTCTTGTAGTGCTGCTTTTGATCATGCAATGGCTCAACTAATTGGTTCTTCACAAGCTTCCCCTCAGGGACCATTTCAATTTCCCGGGGCATGGTTCCCTGCTGGCCCAAATCAAAATCCAGTGTATCAAGTCCTGAATTCCTCAGCACCAATTCTCAACAATCCTATGCCTATACAGCCATCATTCATCAATTGTTCAAATATGCCTTCACTTTTTGGGCCTC